ATGGGAGTTCATCTGAACGGAAGATATATTCTACTGGTCCTTGCTGTGCAGCTAGGTAAGTGGCTTTCCGATTCTGCCTTGTTGGGTGGCTCTCATCGCCATCAGATCCCTGACCTATCCATGTAATGGAACCATCAAACTAGGATTTCATTGTATGCAGAAAATAGATCAGACTATAGCTGTATGGAGTGGAGATCAGTAAATGGCCGAGATTGTGCTGGAAATGATGGACATGACAGCCCGATCGCCCTTTTCTACCTGGGCATCGATGCTCTGCACATCACTGACATTGCTCCATTTTTGTAGTAGTGTAGATAGAGGAAAAGCTGGCAGCAGAGTCAGCCTATGGACGATCGAAACATTTGTCGGGTTATTATTCAGCTGTCAAAATTCAAAATCCTTGTTTGATACAAATCCCTGTCTATTTCTTCAGTGCAAAAGACTTTAAAGAATGCAAAAAATGACCTGCTAGTACGGAGACTATAGTGTGATTTAATCATGGGCACTGTAGAATTTTCCTGATTGCAGAATAATGTATATATATATATATATATATATATATATATATATATAAAGATGCACACGTTGCAGCAGTGGCTGAATATTGGATCATTTTGGTTACAGTATTTTTGTAATTGTAGGATAAATTCCCATGTGTATTAAATTGTGCTTTGTGTGGGTTTTTTTTATGGCTTTGATGTGTTTAGATGGCTTGTATGTTTTTTGGATAGGGACAGGCAACGATATGTTCTATAGATAGTCACACAGCCCAGACTGAGCCAGATGACTGCGACAGGGGCTGCTGGAAAGAGCTTTCCTTGGCATGTGTCCCCTGTAAAAGATGTGAAAAATGGGCCCCAGTGACAGCAGCTCTCACACCTTGTACAACAGTCCTCTCATCCTCCTTGAATGTTCACAGCCAAGCCATGAAAGGAAGAAAGAAAATTCTCAATTAGCACATCCAGTATATAAAAAAAAAATTGTACACAAATGAAGATATATCATTAATTCATGTTTGGTGCTTAACAACGTCCAGCCTGGCCAACTAATGAAGCCTGGGACAATAAGTGAGAAAAAGGAGCTGCTTTATTAAGTGCAGAGAGCTGATGAAGGGCTGAAAGGGAGATGGGGGCTCCCCAGGTTGTTAGCCTGATCTGCTCCATCCTGCACCCTTGTGACTTTCATCTGAGCCCTTCATATTGACTTTCCACCAGTAATGACATTAGCGGCTATACATGCAGCCATCAACACATTGCTGAGCGCTTCTTAATTGCCAAAAAACGAGCAGAGGCTAGAGCTTATGAACAGCAATATCTGAATCCTGAGGCTCAGGGCATATGGGTTCCTTGATCGCATATTACAACACAATTTATTTAGTAGAACATAATTTATTTATTTACCTGCTTTATTTATTATACAACATTAAAAAAGCCCTCATATTTGATTTTTATTATGGTAAACTAATGATCCAGTCTTGTTATAATTTTTATAATGTCATCATAATCACAATGTATTTTTTTATGTACAAATTGTGTTTAAAAAATGATTCAGCAGCAAATAGTATCCAAAAATCCTGTATTTTAGAATGGAGTGAATCGCTGTTCCTCTATTATCTTGTCTAGAGGAAAATGGTATATTTGAGAATTATAATTGTAGAAACATATTTGGGGATCAGATAGGCAGAAATGATGTGCGAATATTGTAGTTTTTTTGTTAGACTTTATAAAAGAAATGTGTTTACTAAGGATGCACATTGATAGAATGTGTTGTAACTGGTGAATGGATGACAAATTAATAGAACTGTGCTCTCATTCAATGTTGATATTCACTGTAGATGTTGTTTTCCTCTATGTATGCAGCATTAATGTGTTCTATTGATCCTTCATGTTAGTTATTACCATCTTTAATGGATATGTGGCACAAATGTACAGGAAATAGTTTTCACTCTTTACACACAGCAAGATCTTCAGTAATGACTGTGATTGTATCTACACCACCCACTAAACCACATACGTAAAGATCATGTATGAGTATTCAAGACTGTCAGGCTGTGGGATTATTTCCTATTATGTGAAAAAAAAAAAAGGATAGCAAGTCTCTGTTCCTAGATCCCCCAAGGTTGGCATAGATCTCAAATGCCAATATGGTTCTTGTAGCTGCAAAGTGTGTAGGAGCAGCTGAAGCCTGCAATCTGGATCTGCAGTACATCATGTTTAACCTGATTGTTTCAAAAGGCCATTAGTAAAAAAAAAAAAAAAGAGAAAAAAACTCTCACCCTTTGCTATATGATAATGGCTGAAATTGGGTGTACTGTTTTTTTGTTTTTTTTTTTTTCTAACTTGCACGCATGCGCAGTGCTGACGTGGTGCATTTTGTGTAAGAAATCGTTGCACTGGTAATCCTCCATCATGATGTATGAGCATTTGGTGTTTATCTAGATTGTTTGTTTGTGTTGTCCATCTTCAAGGACTGTTGATTTGTTGGTCTGGGGCTGCTGCTTCCCACCCATGCAGTGTGCTATCATCAACACATTCATTGTCAAGTACTAGGATGGAGCCTGAGTGATGGCTGTGGGGAGACTTCAAGGAAACAAGCATTGGATGAAGGAGGGGGATGTAGTTTCCTTTCTGCAATTCACGTGTAGTCAGAGGGTGTCATCTCCACCCTGAAACCCACTTTATACCTGGGGACCTATTAGGCACTATGACTTTTAATAGGACCATATACTTCCACCGTAAAGACATTGATGATGGCTGCACAGTATAGTATGGCCGGATCTGCTATTTTATTGATTGCAAATTTTCTGGCAATTTTGATAAATGAGCCATTTGCAGTCATGCCATGGCACCTTGGCGTTTATTCGTAGCATTTTCGGTCCATCTATGGCTCCGACTGTGCCCAGAATGACCGTAGTAGTTTGCTTCTCCATACAGAGTGCTGTGTTTTTAAATGAGCTTGAGTCTGCTAAAGCAGACGATGAAAGGACTGTGGTAATGTGTGCATGCATTTTTAATGAAAAAGCTGCCTGACTGCATTTGTTAGAGGAAATGGAAAAAATATGGATTTTATTGCATTGTGCCTTGGTGCTGTATACAGGAAAGCATGATTTCATCAGCTTAATCGTACATATACAAGGTGTCATAGTGTATAGGTATGCATCTGTCTGGTGCTAAATAAAGGCAGGTCCTAGATGACCTAGAATTTGATGTATCACAGAGGAAGCCCCCCCCCCCCCCCTCGTTTCTTTTCATATACACATAGGAATACCATAGCACAGATCTGAAAGAGCCCCCCTCCAGCAGCTAGCTGTAGTCTGTGCACACTGCAGTATCTGCTGTATAATCTCTGGTTCCAGTCCAGAGGAGTGCTATTGTTGAGGAATATCTCTCACAAGCTCCTCATCCAATAGTCTGTAAAGTGCAACACGGGAGATATTACACCATCTAAGAAATATTCTGTTAAGCACATTTCATTTCTCCAGTTTAAAACGTTTATTTAATGCTCATGGCTGTGCTATGTTTACTTTTGGAGTGGAGAAAATATATTTTTTTTCTCTTTAAATAGGGCAGGAGCATTTTACTGCACATCATTATCTCTAATAAAAGTGAAAATAATTTATTGTTGTAATATCATGATAAATATTCTGTCAGTATTTTATTTTTTTAAGTACACGGGAACAATGCTATATATCTGTAAACCTGAGTGCACCCAGGCCCATTTGAAGAGTGCAAATGTTTGTTATCTTGGCACATTAATGTCAGACTTTCCTTGTCTGGACACAATCGGATCTGCTGCTTATTTAAACTATTGCAATTGTATTGAGTACATGGATATGTAGGATACATGGATATAAACGGCAATAGTATGTAAAATATATTTCTGTAGCCTGTCAATGGATTGCTGGCTGGTGAGCAAAGAGGATTGTATAAGAATTGCTATGAAATATTAATGCCGTCCAAGCTAAGGTATATGTGAATGGGGCTGTGGAGGGAGCTGGGAAGGGGAAAGTCAGCGCTGAGCGCTGTGACTGTGAAGCTCCGGAGCTGTCCTCCTGATGTGGTGCTGATCTCTCTTCCCAGCTTACCTGGTGCAGGCGGTGAAGGCAGCAGGCAAGTGTGATGCGGTCTTTAAGGGCTTCTCAAAGTGTATGCTCACGATGGGCGATCAGATCGAAGCCTACTCGCAGGGCGTGGACGAAGAGAAAAACCTCAACACCATTTGCTCGTAAGTCTTTTTTTTTCAGCGAGTGACAGATGATTGACTTCCTTATCTTGCCATTCATATCAACTTTTATAAAAGCACCGCCTCCAAAACAACTCTCACCTACCAATAAATATATAAATAAATATATATATATATATATAGTAAAATAATTATTATTAATAATAAAAGCAATAAAATACATATATAATGGATAACAAAATATATATATATATATATATATATATATATATATATATATAAAACTGTATCTTTTCATAAAAATCAGGAATTGCTTGTGAAGGTTGTGTGTATAATACTATATATAAATATAATTAAAAAAAAAAAATATAAAAAATATTAAAAATATATATATATAATATGTATAAAAAAAAAATAAATCAGGAATTTTTTATTAAATTAAAAAAAAATTATACTATAATGCATAATACTAAAATACTATAATAATAAATATTAATAAAAAAAAATTTAATAAAATTAAAAAGATAAATAGATAGGAAAAAATATAAAAAAACATATATATATATAGAAATGTGTGTGTGCTAATATTAATATTATATTTATTTAAATTATTATAATATATAATTAGATTAATAAATATTATAAAAAAAATATTAATAATAAAATAAATAAAAATATATAATAAATATATTTAATATAAAAATATAAAAAATAAAATAAAAAATAATATAATAATATATAATATTATAATAATAATTATAAAACAAAAACAATACATATAAAATATATATATATATAAATAAAAAACAAAATATTTTTATTGTGTGTAAAATATATATAGATTTATATCTAATAAATTTTAAAAAAATAAATAAAAAAATATAAAATACTAATATAAAAATATAATAATATCAAACATAAATAGATAAATTTTATAGATATCTTTTATTATTAAAAAAATAAATAAAAATACATATGTATAATTAAAAAATAAAATTATAAATAAAATATTAAAAAGTAAAATTATATAAAAAATTTATTTTTATTTAAAAATTTAAAAAAATAATGAATAATATAAAATAAAAAAAATAAAAAAAAATTAATTGATAATAATAATAAAAAAATAATATAATAAAAATTATATATAATAAATATAATTAAAATTAAAAAATATAAATTTAAAAATATAAATATATATATTTAAATAATATATATAATAAAATAAAAATATATATAAAAAAATATATGTGTGATTTTTCTTTGATGATTTATATCATGGCTTTTACACTGTAAATAATTATTTTTTTTACTGCAACAAGATGAAGTACACAGTACAAACTCACAAGCATAAAGCTAAAGTAAGACAGGAATTAGCTGTTTACTAAAGGAGTTGAGAATCTTCACAGAATACATGGTGTAAATATTTAATTCAGTTATTCCATCGAGGGAAAAGCGAATTCCTGTTTTTTTTTAATTCCATGATTGGAAAATTGAATTGAATATTCACCCAATTTTTTTTATTATGTGAAGATTCTTAACTCCATTAGTAAATCATTCGAAAAATACTGTCACACATAACAATGGCAAAAGCCTCTTTCTAAAAGTGTATCAATATTTACTTATGTCATCCAAACGAAATCTGAGATACTCACCTATGTAGTACATATAGTAAGTGATATCATAAGTGTTCACAAATCCCTGCTGAATTAACAGTTACTTTTGGCTTGCTAAAATGTACAATTGTAAATAATCTCTTCTCCATATGTCTGGCTGACTGGGAGGATAGTAATGTTCATTCACAATTCAGTATTACTACTCTGCAGAGACTGAACATGCAGATGCTCCAAGCAGCGTTTACTTTCCCCAAACGAGTTTTACTTATGTAAATAATATCCCATTTACACCTAATAACATTCAGTACAGATGTCCCCAGTCCTGTAGGCTGTATGTACACATATACCAGCGAGTCAATGCTATCTGGAAAAGTGCAGTCACTGTCTGCAGCAATACATTATCAAACTTAAGCTTTTTTTGACTTTTTCTGCTGTATAATATATTCGGTGCAATCTCTCATTGGGTACCTAAAGGACATCTGATACCAAAATCCGATTATCGACTATCTTTTATCCTACCCAATATAACTCTTTCAAATAAATAGTAACTAATGATGTTATTTTTTTTAATATAAAAAGGAAGATCTAGATGCCTTGTGGGAAATGCAATTAAAACAACGAGAGACACAGCTTTGCTTGCATCCTAGCATATCATTATTTACTGTAAATGTGGCAATATTGGAGTTTACTGTGATCTTGGAGTTCTCATAAATTCTACTCAGTAGACCTGCTTTTCTATAAACACATGGGAAGGTCTATCTGGGGGCAAAGCAATCACTGGCACAGCAAACAGACACACAGGCAGAGACAGAGCCACATACACACCTACATAGACAGGGAAGGAGGGGGAGACATGAGCTGGGTTCAGATCTGCAGTTGAAGGGAAGCACAGGGTCACTGATCTATTTTAAATATATGTTCCCCTGTGGGAATAGACGCGTGCATACAGAATTCTACACGAGTGCCATTTGATCTAAGATGATAAATCTCAATTGATGGGAATCCCACGTGTTTAGAGGAGATGCTGAAAATGGCAGCTGTTATGACTCTGCTGTCATTAGAAGTGCATCCTCTATACAATCGATGTAGTGGAGCAGTTGTGACATAACTCAACTCACCACTGACAATATAATAATATTAATAACGATAACATTTAAAAAAATTGCAATATTATTATATAATAATAATAATACTTCCTCTTCTTCCTCTTCTTCCTCTTCTTCTTCTTCTTCTTCTTATTAATAATATTATTATTATTATTATTTTGAATATATAAAATAACTACAATAATAATAACGCTTATTATTATTCTTATTATTCGTATTCTTATTATTATTATATTTATGTAATACAAAATTATATTATTAGTAAATAAAACTTTTAAACAACGCTTGTAATATAATTTTAATATACACACTTTTTTTTTTTTTTTTGCAAAAAGGTAAATTTAGCCTAGACTGCTTAACATGTTTATTTATTCCAAATAAAACTGACCGGAATGGCCCTGATCAGTCAAAATCTGCACACTGTTAATTGTTCTGGATTAAACAGTGATACCTTTTATACACTAACTGTATTATTTTTGTATTATTTTTTTCCATCTAACAATAGCCTCTTGAAAATGGCAACATCTGCTTCTCTATGGAAAGAGTTTTATTTATTGTATTTAGTATTATTTAATTTCTATGCATAATTCCAATATATTGATTATTTCAGCCTACTGAAAAACTAATGCTGGTCATACATTATACAATTTTCTTGTACAAAGTTTCCTTTAGATTTACTAAAACCATATAATATGAGGTCAAACCTAAATACTTTCAATTTGTATGCAATCAGACAGGCCCTTGCACTACATAATTGAAGGTACATCTAATGGAAATTGATTAAGAAAATTGTATAATGTTTGGCCAGCTTAAGTGAAGGATGGGCAGGTACTGATCTCTCTATACGTAGGTCAGATTTTACATAAACTGCAGTAGACTTTAGGCTAGCCATACATTATACAATTTTCTTTTAGATTTACCAAATCCATATAGTATGAGGCCAAACCTAAAACACTTTCAATTTAAATGCAATCAGACAGACCCTTGCACTACATAATTGAGGGTAAATCTAAAGGAAATTTATTAAGAAAATTGTATAATGTATGGCCTGCTTAAGTAAAGGATGGGCATGTACCGATCTCTCTGTACGTAAGTCAAATTTAACATAAACTACAGTAGACTTTAGGCTAGCCATACATTATACAATTTTCTTGTACAATTTTCTTTTAAATTTACCAAAAACCATATGTACATGCCCATCCTTTACTTAAGCTGGCCATACATTATACAATTATGAGGTCAAACCTAAACACTTTCAGATTGTATGCAATCATACAGGCCCTTGCACTACATAATTGAAGGTAAATCTGTCTTTGGAAAGAGTTTTATTTATTGTATTTAGTCTTATTTGAATTATGCATAATTCCAATATATTGATTATTTCAGCCTACTGGAAAACTAATGCTGGTCATACATTATACAATTTTCTTGTACAAAGTTTCCTTTAGATTTATTTAACATAAACTGAAGTAGACTTTAGGCTAGCCATACATTATACAATTTTCTTGTGCTATTTTCTTTTAGATTTACCAAAACCATATAATACGAGGTCAAACCTAAAACACTTTCAATTTGTATGCAATCATACACGCCCTTGCACTACATAATTGAAGATAAATCTAAAGGAAATTGATTAATAAAATGGTATAATGTATGGCCAGCTTAAGTGAAGGATGGGCAGGTACTGATCTCTCTATATGTATGTCATATTTAACATAAACTGCAGTAGACTTTAGGCTAGCCATACATTATGCAATTTTCTTGTACAATGTTCTTTTAGATTTACCAAAACCATATAATAGGAGGTCAAACCTAAACACTTTCAATTTGTATGCAATCATACAGGCCCTTGTGCTACATAATTGAAGGTAAATCTAAAGGAAATTGAATAAGAAAATTGTATAATGTATGGCCAGCCTCAGGTGGATGGATGATCCTGTAAGAGAGCATAATCTAATCTTGTAGCTGTTGAGGCATGCGCAGATTTCAAGGCACCTGTACTGAGAAAAAGGTTTAAGTTGTCTTGCTGAGCTTCTGAAAATACTGGTTGACTGGCTGCCTCTGACTTCAATATTTTCTGAGTGCCTGACCCAAAACAAGCATGCAGCAAGTGAAATCAGCACTCCTGATTTGCCTACTTCCAGGTCAGTGATTTGGAAAGCAGAGAAGTCACTGGATCAGCATCAGATCAGGCAACTAGCATTTTCTTTCTGACTCTTGTGCTTTCACTGTAGCTGGCTGTTTTTCAGGGGTATACTAACCTTGTGTCTTTACTATGTCCCATTCAGATACTGGAATGAATTTCACGGCTGTGCTGTCACAGTGCTCGCAGATTGTCATGAAGGGGCGGCAGACATGTGGGAGAAACTGAAAAAGGATTCCAAAAAACTCAACATTGAAGGCAGCTTGTTCCAAATGTGTGGTGGATCTAATGGATCAGCCAGCCCCAGACCTGTCCACATTGCCATCCTGCCTTTGCTCATGGTGTCTCTCTCCGCCCTACTTACCTGGATCTTCTAGTAGACCCAAAGTTTCAGGAATCCACACTCACTACCGCCACCTGCTGGATTTCTAGAGGAAGTATCTATCCGTTCTCCGGGGACGTTGTGTTCTCTGTGACGTTCAAAAATAATCATCTAGGATTGTGGAAAAGAAAAAAAAAGTTATATTATTTCTTTTGTGTTTTGTTTGCCAAATGTTACCAAACAGTGAGCAACAACAGCCAAAACCGGACCTCAGCTTTACATCCTCAAATAGCAAAATAGAAAACCTTGAGCCCTTTTTTTTCTTTGCAAAAGAAACTCAGGAAAGGCCCTGGGCCAACTAATAATAATAATAACAATAATAATAATACAAGGAGGAAATGAAAGCGGGCTCAACTCTCAATAAATCACGACATGCTGAATATAAGCCACGGGATCTGTCACATATGGATGATGTGCTGTAGATGTTCACATGTGAAACATATGGTCAAATAGCAATCTATTGTTCACCATAACCCCTCCTCCGCAGAACCATGATTTCCTCATTACAATGCAACTATGTAACCAAGGAAAACATAGCTCCGCCTACGAGCAACGGGAAGTCTATCAAGGATAACACTAAAGTAGAGTGAATGCTTGGAAGGATGATTGAGTTTCTGAGTGGCCAAGTATGCTGTATGGACTGCTGAGGGAATTTAGCTTTATCTGCTGTTGCCAAGATATATTTCCAAGTTCACTGCCTTTTATTTCTTTATTCTCCTTGGTTTAGGTGTTACACATATTACTTACGTATCCGACAGTGTAAACCACAAATGGGGGTATAAATGTATAACCGTTAAAAAAAAACAAATAGTTATAAAAATAAGAGATTTTGACATAAGAGGAAATAAAAGAGAGCCTTGATTTTAAAATAAATAAATGTAATTTAAAATAAAGTTTATTATAAACTCAAATCAGCAAAAAAAGATATTTGCTACAAAGTATAGTACAAGATATTAAATAAAATTATTGTTCAAAAGGGTGTGTCTTTTATTATAATTCTATATTTGTTATGAAGTGTTTTATTTTTTTGGAGAGAGTTATTGTATTTTATCTAAAGCAGGTTTGTCTAGGGGCTTGGTAATTACTTGAATATTCAAAGCTGTATACTTGAAATGTTCGTGGATATTCCTAGTAGAAGAGTTTTTAGATGGAGATTCTGATATGGATGAGATAAGGGAGAAGGGACTTAAGGATAATTAAAAAAAGAAAGAAAAAGAAGAAGGAGAGAAAGGAGAAAAAGGGAAAAGAAGAGAGATTGGATTGATTTACTAAAGGAATAGACAATGTTCTATTAACAAAGTGAATGCTGACTTAGCCTAATGGGGATGATTTAATAAAGGAATGGGGACTGTTCATTCCTCACAGTATGTTTTCTAAACTTAGTAAATATGATGAAGCTGTTTTGATTGAATGTTCATTATAGTTGTGGAAATAATAGTAATAATAATAATAATAATCATAAACAGGATTTTAGTTGTAGGTGATTGGATGAAAAAAAGTGAACACAGCTACACATAAAGCTCTGTGAACAGTTTATTTAAACAAAAACTAAGAATAAATAATAAATGTCTGAAAGACACTGTTCATTTTACATAAATATTGGGGTTGACTTACTAAAGGAGTAAAAAATTTTCACCAAGCAAAATGTTTACTGAGCTTAGTGAATAAAGTAAAGCTGTACCCAGCATTCATTTTACTGAGCAAGTAATCATTGCTTTTTTAGTAAATGAACCAAAATAGGTGAAGCTGTGTTCACTTTCAATGCCCAGTCATGTGCATAGGTCATTAGAAAACAACAAAGAAAAACAGAATTTTTAGTTGTAGGTGATTGGATGAACTAAGTGATTTACTAGGCACAGTGAACATGCTTTTTTTTTTTTTTAACAAATGAGTTACAACGAAAAGGTGAAGCTATATTCACTTTGAATACCCAATCATATGTAAGTAAAAAGAAAAAAAAAAAGATTTTTTTTTTCGTTTAGATTGATTGGACGATTAAAGTGAACACAGCTAACCCATATTTACTAAGCTCAGTGAACATGTAAACTGTCTTTTCTTCTTTAGTAAATGAGCCATAACGAATATACATTCACTAAAGGAGCAGAAAATGTTAGTGAATTTTGAAGCAATGTTTAGTTCCAGTATCCCCCCCCCTCCCCCAAAAAAAGAAAAAAGTTTATTGATCACACACAGCATTGAACTTAGGGATTGATGTGCTAAAGGCAAACAGGCTTCTTTGCAAGGGAATTTTCCCCAGAGCTTACTGAATGAGGTGAAGCTCTCCAAAATGCTATTTTTAATTTTCCATCCATGTGATTGGGTATTTCTTGCAAAATGAAATGTCACCACATTTTCCCCAGAGCTTACTGAATGTGGTGACATTTCATTTTGCAAAAAATACCCAATCACATGCATGGAAAATTAAAAAATGCATTTTTGCTTTACACATGATGGCATGATGGAGAGCTTCACCTCATTCAGTAATCTCTGTGGGAAATATCCTTGCAAAGAAGCCTGATTGCCTTTAGCTCATCAATCCCTAAGTTCAATGCTGTGCAATCAACAAACCTTTTTTTGTGTGTGTGTGTTGGGACTAAACATTGCTTCCCTTTATTCACTAACATTTTCTGCTCCTTTAGTAAATGTACCCCAATGAAGTAGAAATGAAGAGATGTAGAAATAAAACAATTTAATTGTATTTTTCCTTACCTATGATTGTGTATGAAAAGTGAACATACAGTTGTGTCCAAAATTATTCAACCCCCAATGCTGTAAAGGGGTTTAGGGACTATAGTGTAAATTTGGAATTGTATTCAGAATCAAATCCTACAAGGACGTTGTAACTACCCAAATGCAACTAAAATGACATCAATTGTTTATGTAATACAGTAGTAAATGGTTCTTATGTGGTTTCTTCATTGCCACAATTATTCAACCCCTTAAAGACTACCACTCTGAAGAACAGAGGTTCATACAGGTGCTTTCCATCAGGTATTGAAAACACCTGTGGATGTCACCGAGCAGCAATCAAGCATAATAAGCACCAATTAGGCAGCTTTAAAATGACTGTGATACTCAGCTCCTTCTAGACATTTACTGGTGTGGTTACAAACATGGTGAAGGCAAGAGAATGGTCCAGGAAGACAAGAGAAGAGGTGATTTCTCTTCACAGGAAGGGCAATGGCTATAAGAAGATTGCAAAGATGTTAAACATACCAAGAGACACCTTAGGAAGCATCATTCGCAAATTCAAGGCAAAGGGCACTGTTGAAACGCTACCTGGTCGTGGCAGAAAGAAGATGCTGACTTCGACTGCTGTGCGCTACCTGAAGCGTAGAGTGGAGAGAAGTCCCCGTGTGACTGCTGAGGAACTGAGAAAAGATTTGTCAGATGTGGGTACAGAAGTTTCAGCCCAGACAATAAGACGCACACTGCGTAATGAAGGCCTCCGTGCCAGAACTCCCAGGCGTACCCCCTTGCTGTCTCCAAAGAATAAGAAGAGTCGACTGCAGTATGCCAAAAGCCATGTGGACAAACCACAAAAGTTGTGGGATAGTGTTCTGTGGACTGATGAAACAAAATTAGAACTGTTTGGGCCCATGGATCAACGCTATGTTTGGAGGAGGAAGAACAAGGCCTATGATGAAAAGAAACACCTTGCCTACTGTGAAGCATTGGAGGGTCAATCATGCTTTGGGGCTGTTTTGCTTCTGCAGGTACAGGGAAGCTTCAGCGTGTGCAAGGTACCATGAATTCTCTTCAGTACCAGGAGATATTGGATGGAAACGTGATGCAGTCCGTCACACACCTGAGGCTTGGGAGACGTTGGACCTTTCAACAGGACAATGATCCCAAGCATACCTCCAAGTCCACTAGAGCATGGTTGCAGAGGAAAGGCTGGAACATTTTGGAGTGGCCATCGCAGTCACCAGACTTAAATCCGATTGAGAACCTCTGGTGGGACTTAAGAAAGCAGTTGCAGTGCGCAAGCCTAAGAATGTGACTGAACTGGAGGCCTTTGCCCATGAAGAATGGGCGAAGATACCCGTAAATCGCTGCAAGACACTTGTGTCAAGCTATGCTTCACGTTTAAAAGCTGTTATAACTGTAAAAGGATGCTGTACTAAGTACTAAGATTGAATGTCACTTGGGGGTTGAATAAAACTGATAATGCTGTGAGCACAGAAAAGACATTTGTGGTTATTTCATTATAACTGTTATGTTATATTTGTCTGACCTACAAGTGCCTCTTTAATGTAAATGTAAGCAAGATGACTGAATGATCAAAAGCAATGTCAAACTGGCCAAAACACTCAATTTCAGTGGGGGTTGAATAATTTTGGACACAACTGTAGCTTCACCTTTAGAGAGGATAAAGGGGAAATAAAGGGTTAGGAAGAGAAAAAAAAGATAAAAATGAAGATAAAAACTATCAATATCCAGAATTGGTAATAGAGGGATTTGGAAAAGAGGGATAAAATAGGATTAGGACACACACAAAAAAAGAGGAAAAGAAAGGATAAAATGGTCAGCAGAGGGGGATATAAAGGCAATGTGAGAAGAGAGGGAATAGAATAATCATAATAATAATAATAATAGTAATAATATAAAAACAGAGCAGCCTCTGCTGAACAAAAGGTCAGCATTATTAAGGTGCAGAAGAAGAGCTCCTGTTCTGTACATCAGATGAGTCGTTTCATAATTAATAAGACACCTCAGCTGAATTTGCGAGGAGGACTAGCTGTATTGATTTAGCAGTGGAAAATGCTCTAACCTTTTCTATTTATAGGCTCTCTTGATGTCTAGAGTATACTTGTCTATACACATGAAAGCACCAAAAGGCAGCAGATCTACAGACAAACAACAACAACATGCCATTTGATTCTTCCCAATGCAGCAGCACATTTCACGTTCCATCCATTAAATGTGTATTTTTTTATTTATTTTCTCAACAAAAGCCTATTTTCTTGATGCCATAATGCAATGTGCTTGCTCCTATAAGCCAAGTAGGGGATGCTTATTTCATCTTTCAAGTTCCCCCGATCTATAAAAAGCTCTATTCATAGATGGCCGAATCTATTGTACATTGAAAGGTTACAAGCTGAGATGGAGATCATACAAACAATTGTGTATTATGCCACACAAGAGCAGATGAATAGAACACATTATATTGATATATGACCTTTCTATGTACTATATCAGGATCTGGCAATCATGAGTTCTTCTTCATTTGTAGGAATTAAATTCAACTATGTGTTGGCCAATTGTAATGTGTGAATGTCCTCTGGTGTGGTATAAGTTATTTTAGAGACAATGGGAGGAACAAGCAATAAAAGGGTGCTTCTAGAAGTGTGAAGCACACGGTGCTCATGTGATTTCACCTCCTCTCTGCCTGTGCATTCGTGACAGCTTGGGATCTATATATAGCACATGCATGCAGTCTTTCAGACACCTTGTGCATGAGAAGCTCCTATCTGGTTCTGAAGCTGAAGGTGAACTGCTTATTCATTTTACAAACAGGGTTTCACATGTTATTCTGATTTTAATAGCAATCTTGTTAGCATTTTAAATCGAGGTAAAAAAAAAATATGTTCAACAAAAAAAATAAATCCTCTGGGGAAATCTTGTCTCACTGTTATTCCAAGTCTAGAACCATGCAGATGTGACTCTCATTACCAGCCAGCAGCCTGCTCTATATCACACACCAAGCCACAGTCACACAAAAGCCTCAGCAGGCACGTATTGCTAATAGGATTACAAGCAAGGCTAGAGGAGACAGGCTGCTCTCAGAACACTATCAGATTTTTCATCAGTACATTTTTGTTTTATTTATTTTTTATTAGATTGGATTACATGAGGACATGGTGTTAAAATGACACTAAGGGCTAGTTCACACTAGATGCAGTTAAGTGTGCTTTTTTTCTGCATCAAAAATGAATGCACAGTGTTTTCCATGTATTCCAATGGCCCTAGTTCACACTAGTGAAGTCAGTTTCCAGGGAAGAAAAAAAAGTAGAATATGCTGCATTTTTTTGTGCATAGAACCATAATGTAAGATGGCAAACTGCATCAAAATTGCACCAGAACTGTGTGTGGTGTGAACTGTAAGCAACAACGTACTGGGAATGCATCCGGAGTGCATTTTTGTAGTGTGAACTGGCCCTTAGGACTAGTTCACACTAGATACAGTTCAGTGTGCTTTTTTTCTGCATAAAAAATGAATGCACAGTGTTTTCCATGTATTCCAATGGCTCTTGTTCACACTAGTGCAGTTAGTTCCAGTCAGTTTCCGGAGCAGAAAAAAAAATAGGACATGCTGCATTTTGTTCTGCACAGAATCATACTGTAAGATGGCAAACTGCATCAAAACTGCACCGGAACTGCGTGTGGAGTGAACTGTAAGCAAAAACGTACCCGGAATGCATCCGGAGTGCATTATTGTAGTGTGAACTGGCCCTTAGGACTAGGTCACACTAGGTACAGTTCAATGTGTTTTTTTTCTGCATAAAAAAATGCATGCACAGTGTTTTCCATGTATTCCAGAGGGCCCTAGTTTGCACTAGTGCAGTCAGTTCCAGTCAGTTTCCGGAGCAGAAAAAAAATTAGAACATGCATTTTTTTCTTGCATTTTTTTCTGCACCGGAACTGTGCGTGGTGTGAACTGTAAGCAAAAACATATTCAGGATGCATCCGGAGTGCATTTTTGTAGTATGAACTGGCCCTAAATGATATACTTATCCTTCACAATAATCCATACAAAATCACTACCTAATGGCCCTGTAAATCTAATTTTCGTGATATTGTATTTCTGCCTCCTTGTCATATTTTCTGTGAGCTCCTGAACATCTCCTTCTCCCCTTCAAATCCTTTTGTTTGGAATGAGCAGTGTGCGTTAGTTGCAGTCATGTGTGCTGCTCTATGCACACTACATATTATTATTATCATACAGGATGTATAGAGCACCAACAGTTTATGCAGCTCTTTACAATATAAAGGGGGACAGTAAAATTACCATACAGTTTATTACATGAAGGAATAGGAAGGCCTAGATCATGGAGCTTACAATCTAAAGGGTGGAGTTGTAAAATGTAATAGCTGCAGGGGATGATCTGATGGAGGTAACTCAAGTACAGTTCTTAAGTGGAGGTGGGGTAGGCTTCCCTGAATAAATGGGTTTTCAAGGATAGTCTATAGGTGGACAGGGTAGTTCATAGTCCCTAGTCCATATTGGAAGTGAGCAAGAGAGAGTGGCTACATTCCTACATGCCATAGGATTATGGAGAATAAACATATCCACCCACTAATAGGAAGTCCTATCACAGCAGCAAAAAAGAGATTGGGAGAACTGGTGGAGGCATAGAGCAATACAAACAATGAAACAATATATTTTTTTTTCCAATCAGTTTAGTGTCCCTTTAAGATAAAGTCCCTTTAATAGATTGATCCTCATTATTCTATGTATTGAGACACATATTTGTAAGGTAAATGCACTGTGAGCCATGGTGACCAATCAATACATCTCTTATTGGTCTGGCTGCTGTAAGTTCTGCCTGCAGTTGTCACCAAGGACAATTGGGCAGCTTACTGAAGGACACATTTTGTGAATATTTACTTCAATTATCCATTCATGTGAGAAGCAAGTTCCAATCTATTTTGAATACCCAATCATGTGCAGATGAAATAGGCGAACAGGAATTTTCCTTTTCACATAATTGGATAATCATCATTCACACACAATTTTTGTTTGAAGATTCTAAACTGAATTAGCCTCACTATCAGAATGGAAATGGTGGGGGTGATCTACAAAATAAATACAGACTGATCACCTAGCAAAGAGAATGTTAACTTTGGAAAGTTTATGTATTGTATGTGACTATTCACTTAGTTTAGTCGATGAAGCCGGCCATAGAAGGATCGAATCTTGGCCGGTCCCTGCTGATCCGGCCTAGATTCAATCTATCTATGAGCAGGCTGGTTGTACTGAAGTCGATCCATCTGTCGACTTCAGTACAACCAGCCTGTCAGATTTTTTTCATGCAACCACTGCCGACGGCTATAGCAGCTAGCAGTGATCATTATAGCACTGAGGGAGGGATTCCCCTGTCAACACTGACTGTGTTGAGCAATTTTCTTTCCTTTTACCCGTGATGGAAGGAGGAGAGAAAATTGCATAATCTATGGGCTGCTTAAGGTGTAGATGGCTTCACTTTGAATACCAAATCAAGGGACACTTAAAAAAAAAAAAAAAAGAAAAAAAAAAGGATTTTGCTTGCATGTGATTGTATGATTAAAGTGAATAGCACTTCACCTTAGTCATTAAAGTAAGGGCTCATTCACACTAGTGGTTGGGAGCAGGGGCGGACTGACCATTTGGAAACTCGGGCACTGCCCAAGGGCCCAGTTTCAGTAGGGCCCCATGAGATTCCCCTGGTACCTTTTTCATAGGCTTTTTTGAGTATGGGCAAGGACACAGGGGCCCCATGATCCCCTATTGCCCGGGGGCCCCATGAGTTCTCAGTCCGCCCCTGGTTGGGAGGCAGTAAAACCCTACCAACTGCTACCTCTTTTGCTGCAGAGGTAGAAGCTGGAGTTTACAAATATAACTATGCCTCCCACATCAACCCCCCCCCCCCATCCCCCACCGCCCTACGAATGTGACCCATTCAAGTGAATAGAGCTGCTGTGAAATCATGTGCAGTGTTGTGACGGGGTTCAAGAGGGTAAAGCAGGCAGTGAGGAGGCGATACAATGCCTTCTACTGACTGTCAATGATCTCTAAACAGAAAACTACATGTGGATCACTTTTCAGAGAGCAAAGCTATTGTGAATGAGCCCTAAGTGAACTTGACTTGTGAACAGTCTCTATTTCTTTACTAAAAAACCCTGGTATGTTCTCGCATTCCTTGTTTAGGTTTCTCCACTGTTTAAGAGCATTCAGGTAGGTTAACTGGCATCAGTCCACATTTGCCATAGAGACTGTATGACAGTGATATGGATCGTAAACTGTAAGTGCCTCCATGGTAAAGAGGTAGATGAATGGTTTATGGACTTTGTACATAATTTAGAATGTGTTGGTAATAAATAGATAAGTGATTGGTTGCTTTGGGTTATTGTTAGCGGTAATGGATTTGGTCTCCATAAACATGCACCCAGCCAGCGGGCCTACAATTCCTATGCTTGCAAATCAAGGTCATGGCAGATGTTTTCAAATTTACGCATCTGCACCCACCTGTTATATTGTTTGGAGATGAGTGGCTGATTCTTAGCCCGGGTTCACATATATGCGGTGCGGTATATAACATGTGATTCGCACAGGAACCGTACCGCATTCCTGTGCAAATCACATGCAATTTGTGTGCAGTGTAATTGGAGCCATACATTTTTTATGGCTCTAATCGCACCGCACTCGCACCAAAAACGCGCAGGACCCATGTTTTGATCCGCACTAGAATCTGATTGCATGGGTATTCACACCTGTGTGATCCGATTCTGCACATCTCACCACGTTTTGCGGACCACTTTCGGGGTGTTGCTAACTTAACATACACACCAGCAGCGGTTCGCATGAACGAAATGCGATTCTGATGCGATGCGGAATTCGCACAGGAAACAATGAGAATTCCACACCGCATCAGTGTGAACCAAGGCTTAATGACCCAAAAACTAGCTCAGATTTCAAAGTTTGCAAGCATGGGAACCAAGTTACTGTACTGCATACACCATATTACTTTATGTTGACCTATTAGAGAGAAACATGCACTTTTAAAATATGTAGGCTGCCATTGCTGAACTCCTCTAGAAAATGCTGCTTGTATGCACTGTCATGCTGACCCAGATTTCAGTACTTTCTAAGTCACTTCCCCAGAACAAGTATGCAGATCAGCAATGACTTCACTAGTTACATGCTTGTTCCAGGTGTGAAGGCAGACAACTATAGCACCTTCAGAAGGCATTGGTAGCCCCATATGTCTGTCTTTAAATATGTCCTATATTAAATAAAGAGTTCCTATTCTTAAATGCACATTCTTCCTTAGGTAGACCTGGAAAAGTAATCCATAACACCCCATAAAACTCACGCTGCTGGAGTCAGACTTCTTGAAAAAAATCCAATGATATGACTGTTAATTGGAGAATTTAGAGATTGCACTAGATTTATCAATGAAACTTGTTACAGCAGCTCAAATAGTAATTTTAATGAATGTGAGTCTGTGTGTATGTCTGTGTATGATTGCTTTACTATATCTATAACATTATAAAAAGTATACATTGATTACCTATCCACAAAGAGGTATTGCTTTATCTACTTTATTCCCCTTTGTTTTTTTTCCTATGTCCTGTATTAAACTTTTCAAAAGAAACATTAGTGCAATCAAAAAGACCATGGCATATTGTCAGACTGGTATCTCTGTAAATAAACTAGCTGAAATGTATCGCCGCACAGAAATAAGGGTATATTTTACAACGTCCTTTGGGATTGGCCCACTAAACCAATAAGTATTTTTTTTTTTTATTTCTAAAGAGGCAGTTGGCTAATATTACATTCCTCTTTCCGCAGTAAAAGCCTTAGGCAAAATAGGAGCATTAGCTGAATCATGAGCCCTTACTAAGCTGACAAGTCCTATGTTCAACCTTTTCACCTCCATCCCCCCTTACAGGAATCTCATTACATGAAAAAAAAAATACACTTTCAGCTCTATATTCCTGTTTCCTGAATCAGTGTTAATTTGGATGAAATTAAGCATGTTGAAAGCTGGTGTATATATCATGTTATTTATATCCAGTTTATGTTATTCTTTTCTAAAGGGACTGTCTATCCAAATTTGATATTTCAGCTTCTAGATGATGGCAATTTCTTATATCTCTAAGGAATGCTATTCATGACATCTCTATGCTTGTGTTCCTGGTTCTGCACATCTACTCGGATAATTATGTGGGGGTCCCGTTTTACTTGTTATCTTAAAGGGGGCTTCCAGATTCTGATAAGTCCCCCCCTGCATCCCCACCAGCACTGTGCTAGGATTGTGGAGAGGAGGCCGTTGTCTTCATTAACATGGTGAGCCCCTCAATATTGAGGATATGTGGATTCCCTATTAAAATCTGTACCAAATCCAAAGTTTTTGGGTTTTTTTGCATGTGCCCACCCCCCAAAAAAAAAATCCATACTAAATGCAATGGGTCTGGTTTTGATTTTGGGGGGAAACCTCCAGTTTACATTGCAGGGATGTGCCACTTCACAGGCAGGTTTAGGGGACCCCCAATCAGGGGTGGACTGACCATTTGGAAACTTGGGCACTGCCCGAGGGCCAGGGTCAGTAGGGAGCCCCATGAGATGCTCCTGGTACCTTTTTCATAGGCTTTTTTGAGTTTGGGCAAGGACACAGTGGCCCCATGATCCCCTATTGCCCGGGGGCCCCATGGGTTGTCAGTCTGCCCCTGCCCCCAATGATTTCTTTTAAGAAATAGTGCAGTTTTAATGTTGCATCTTAAGCCCCCCCCCATGCACTTTTTTGCCAATCCCTTGACAATTAGCCTTAAAAAAAGAACGTTGAATTGAGAGATTCAACGTCTATTGACCTTAATGGGGTTCGGATTTGGCATTTGAACTATTGGAATGCTTGGTCGAACCTCCCTGAACTGAACCCAGGTATGTTCAGCTTAATTCTAATTTCCACTCACCTCTTGCTTTCGTGGCAATTTGGATTTCCTCTCACTTTCTGTCTTTGTGACAATATCCTCCAGGACAAAAAGAGGAGTAAATCTCCCAATTTGGGGTATAGACAGCAATTAAACTTGACAGTTGGTTTACTCCTCTCACACTCTATCAGAAACTATAAAAACGTTTTCCCTACAGATCAATGTCTGCATGCACTCTAGTCTGTTCATTTTATTTCTATTACTCATAATTTTATAAAAGTGGATGCATGATATGACCTCTTAAGGTAGGAAGAAAGTGTACCCACATCTCCTTCCTACAGCAGATCAGAATACTTAAGGCATCAGTAAGCAGTCAATTTTTACACAACTATTCCAAGACAACAATTCCTTCAATAGTTTGTGGTTAAAAGTATTACACGGAGTATCTTAGAGCATTGAAAACTTGAAAAAAAAAATTTATATATTGCTCAGCTGATTTCTGCTGATAGAGAATAGATAAGCCAATATCTCCAACTGGGCATTTTGCAAGGATATGTTGTATATTCATGTTGAGCAGTTAAATGGACAGAGACTAGTACTTCCTGCAGCAAGTCTCTACATACAAGAACCTTAAGGTGTTTTTTAATCATGTAACACATTTTGCTGAACTTTCAAAGGAGTTAGAATGGATGGGAAATAGGGATTATATTAACACCCCAGTCACAGCAAGCCTGACTTTGAAATCATGCGACTTACAGTGTAGTAGCATGATTTCAAAGTTGGGGGACATGCCAATTTCAGGTGTGATTTGCAAGACATCTGACACAGACATCTATGAAAATTGCACCAAAAGTGGTGCATGTACAACTTTAGAAAGTGCGAACCGCACTGATATGACCACTGTAATTGCGAACAATAGCGTGCGACTAAGCATGCGATTTGCAAGTCGCGTGGCATGCAAATCGCATGCCATTCGCACCTAGTGCGACCGGGGTCTTAGGCTGTTTACCCAGCAAATTGTATGTAAAATGTTTGTTTAATTAGCTCAGTTAAGCTACTTTTTACACTGATCTGCCAAAAAAACAGCAAAAATGCTGCGCTTTCTGAGCCTTTTTTTTAAAGGACACGTGACTTAAAAAGCTGCACCAAAGGAGAGAATGTCACCATCACACCGAGAATCACCAATATGGCTCCAAAAGTTTTCTGTCACATGCCTGATGAAGGGGTCCTGCGAGACTTTGAAGCGTTGCTTTGCTGTAACTTTACGTTCATTACAACTTTTGGACCCATATTGGTGATCCTCGGTGTGCTGGTGACATTCTCACTTGCTGATTCTGTTCAGTTCCAGCCGACGGTCACTGCAGCACCCACTTTTACATGCAGCCATTTTTGACACAGAAATGTGTGCATTTGGACTGTACACTTAAAAACTGCACCAAAAACGCTTCTCAGAGGAGATTTTGAGGTGCTTTTCAGGTGTTTTTCAGGCTTTTTTTTAGGCATTTTTCATTGATTTCAATGGGAAGAGGTGTTTTTGGGGCTTTTTTTTTAACTCACCAAACATGCCCCAAAGATGCTGCAAGCAGGATTTTTTTACACCGCACCGCAAGCGCAACGCCTCAGTGTGAAAACATACATAGATATACATTCACATACATAGGGAAGCATTTTTCTTGAGCTTTTCAGGCACTTTTTTTTTTACGCAAAAATGCTTCAAAAACTCCTCAGTGTGAAAGTAGCCTTAGGCTGTGTTCACTTTGAATATCCATGAACATATACTTTAAAAACATGAACCTCCTCTATTCCTTTAGTAAATAAACCCAACCTAAAGGAACTGTTTGACACCAATGTGTTCCATGCACTGCAGTGTGTTGTGGAAACGTCCTGCACAGGT